ATACCCTATATTAATGCTGAGAATAAATTAAGCATATTTAAAAGCTGAATCTCTCCTTCCTTCATTGACCAAGACATGTAAAGTAAAACAAAATTAAATCCAAACTTGAATAGTCTATTCCTTTTCCAAACATCCTCTTCCTACATCCTAGCTCTCTCTCACCAGGTGGTACTGCTATCCACCCAGTCCTCAAGTTAGAAACCTGAAAAAATCCATGCTACTCCTTTTTTACCATCTCGATTATTTTACCTCAAATGTACGTAATCCATTTCTTCCTCCGTTATGACTGCTTTAGTTCACGCCCTCATCTCTTACCCAGAGCAACCCCTAACAGAGCTCCCCAAATCCTACCTTGTTACCTCTGCAATTCAAGCCTTCATACCACTCCAAAAACCTCATACTAAAATGCCTCAGGATATCATTCCCCTGCTGAAGACCTTTTATAGACTCTACATGACAAAATTCAAGCTTCCCTGCATGCTTTTAAAAATCTCTAAAATTCTTCTACTACCCAAGTCTTCATCTTCCATAATTCCTGCCACTCCCTGCCTCCCACTTTATGCTTCAGGGATACAGAATTGCCTGTGTTCCTAGAACACATACCATGTTTCCAAGCTCTGGCTCATGCTGTTCCCTCTCCCAACAATGTCCTGCCTCTGCTTTCACTCCCCACCATCCAAAACCTGACGAAATTCTTATCATTCTTTTTCTGGGGCAGGAACTAGTTAGTTAGAAACTAGGGAGACTCTCCCGATTTCCAAGAGCTGGGTTTGTGGCCCTCCTCTAAATTCCCACAGCCCTTTGGCATCTCTCTAGCTGAGCACTTACTACAACTGGGAACTGAAATGAACTGTTTATGTTTATGTTTCTCATATAACAGTGGGCACATCTAGGGCAGAGAACCTACTGCCCTGATCTCAGCGCAGTGATCTACTGAGCTCTTCCTCTGGCTATGTGCTGAAACAGCCTTTGATAAGAGCTTAAAAAAGGGAGAGCCTCGTAATCAGTGACTTCACGGTAAAAGAAAGAACTGAACTGGGAATGAGGATTGCTTCTTAAACATACTAATAAGTACAAATGTAACCCCTAGTACAAAAACATAGAGTCAGCATTCAATTAGGGCAGTGTGGTAAAGTAAGGCCCTCTCCACAGCCCCCCTCCAAAAAAAAAAAAAAAAAAAAAGGCATTTCGGGAAAGACACCTATATGAAACACAGAGGTGGGAAAGTACAGTGAAAATTATGGTTTGGTTTTTTAACATTACTGCCTGGAAATTTTAAAAAATGAACAGAAATTCTATTAAGTACTGAGAGACTTGTGGGAAATGGGTAGTAATAAAAAACTATAATGGAATAATTTATGAATGACAAAGATGACAAAATTGGCTACTACAACTCTTCTACAAACCTTTTGTCTAATTCTGCAATGGCTTTAGGTACCTATGTGGATGAAGGGGAAATGGAGATGTTGGGAAATAACTAAAGCAAAAGTTAGACCTCTAGCTGGGTCAGTGCTGTAATTTCAATATTTTAATTTCCCAAGGAAGAAGGGTTTCAAAAGATACAGCACACCCTTTGCCAATCACCGCCATGCACCGATCCTCTTCCCCAATCTCATCATCATCTTTTCAAAAAAATTCCAAGTCTAAATATCCTATTTTAATGTCTTTTAATGGCTTCAGTAAAGAATTATTAAAATGTCTCTAAATTTGGCAGTCCAAACAAATCTCAAATCATACTAACCCAAATGTTTCTTAAGCTCAAGTTCCATAAACTTTTCATTCTTAAACCCTCAACATCAATTTTTCACAGTGGGAATCACAGTGGGAATACTATGCTGCTCTAAAAAGGAAGGAACTCTTACCATTTGCAACGGCATGGATGGAACTGGAGAGCATTATGCTAAGTGAAATAAGCCAGTCAATGAAGGAAAAATACCACATGATCTCACTCATTCATGGATAATTGAGACCATTATAACACACCCTTTGCCAATCACCGCCATGCACCGATCCTCTTCCCCAATCTCATCATCATCTTTTCAAAAAAATTCCAAGTCTAAATATCCTATTTTAATGTCTTTTAATGGCTTCAGTAAAGAATCATTAAAATGTCTCTAAATTTGGCAGTCCAAACAAATCTCAAGTCATACTAACCCAAATGTTTCTTAAGCTCAAGTTCCATAAACTTTTCATTCTTAAACCCTCAACATCAATTTTTCACAGTGGGAATCAACAAACTTTACTTCTATTTTCAGTACTAGACTAGCTGATTCGTCCCCCCCTCCCCCAAGCAGGTCATAATATCCTCATTATTGCTAATAAATAAAGTTGAGAAATCATACTGAGGTTAGCTTAAGTAAAAGATAGCCAGAAATTATACAAACTAATAGAAGCGTGGTTAATTTAAATCCACCAATGATTTTAAGAACCACATTATAATAAATTATAAATTGTTTTCATCTCTACCATCCAATTAAATTTTTTTTAAATCATGTTTAAGGGCACAAACTTGCAACTAGGACATAAGTAATTCCTGGAGATCTAAAACACAGTACAGTGAATACAGACAGCAATTCCGTATGACAATCATCAAACATTTTATTCCAACAACACACACAAAAAAGATGATCATGTGACATGACAGAGATGCTATCACTACAATGGCAATCATATTGCAATATATAAATATCAAATCTACATGCTGTACAACTTAAGTTTAAACAATGTTATGCATCCAATATACTTCAAATTTTTAAAGAAATTCACAGATAAAGGTGCATTTTAGATTTGAATGGAAAGTGTAACCTGTTTGTCCCTATGAGCCGTTTCTGAAAGTGCTAATGAAAAATAGCATGGTCTAAAGATGGGTAAGATCAAGGAGAAAGAGGACAGAAAAGATGTCATCTACAAACAACCAAGCAGCCCCCAGAAGGAGGTGGATATGAATGCAAGGTTTTGGTATCTCATTTACAAACTTAAATTTAAAACGGAGTAAGTGGACTCACATGCACTTCTTGGTACCCAACGTAGTACTAAAAGGTGGGGTAGGGGGAGAAGACATTGGCCTTATTAAGAGGCTATGGAATGAAAGACAAGAGGCAAAACGTCTTTTGCTCTAAACCACCTACCAACCTTCCTATCAAAATTCCTCAGCCAGGCAAGTGTTTTCTTCCCCTCTCATTTATGTACCATCTTAGGTGAGGAAGAACTCAACAACTTCAGTGTCTGGAATTTATGAAGCCAGCCCTAAAAATAAAAGTGCTCTTGGTCTTTTTGCAGACATAAGCTACACCAGAAACTTAGTGTATCTGAATTTTCACTAACAGCAAACCACTTTGAATGAAGAAGCACCTTTTAAGTCAGCATGTGTCACACACCTCTCAAGAAACTCCCAAGTACCATGATAGCCATCCTTTGACCGGCAAGCTCTCTCCTCTTCAAAAGGTAAAAAGAAAAACCCAAACGCGCCGGGAATTGACACACTCCACAAACCTTAGAGACAAGGCAGTCTTCCCGCCCTCAAAAATACAGGGCCCGTCCCCCCAGGACTAAGGGACATGCCCCCACCCCTAAGGCGCGCTCTCCTCTACGCCCGTGACTTCCCACCACCTCCCCCTTAATGAGAAAGTGCTTCCATGGCGCCCCCCAAAGTTTCCAAGAGCAGCAGCCCCAGCCGCACTGGAGCCCAAAGGCTGCGAGAAGGGGCCGGAACCGCAGCGTGCCCATTCCAATCCCCCTCGGAGCCCCTCGCGTGTTTTTTAAAAATCGCACGTCGGGAGCGTGTCCCCGCCGACACGCTCGATGTCCCGACGGCTCTGGGACAGCCAGAGACGGGTGGTGAACTCAGCGACTAACCAGCACCCATCCCCACGCCGCCCCCCAGGGGCAGGGGCACCGAGCCCAAAGGCACGCAGGGGGCCCCCTCGCCCCAGGCACCCTCCTCCCCCACTGTCTGTAAATTCCAAAACACACCCAGCAAATCTCCGTCGGCAGGAGGGTCGCTAAGCAATCGGCGGGTTGCTTCCCAGGGACCTCGGAGACCCGCACCCTGAAACTCGAGATGATGTGGGGGTGTGACCTGGGCTGCGCCCCTCCTCCCCCGCCCCCCGGGAAAATCCCGCGCGGTCGAGGCGACTCACCAGACCAGGGAACACAGAGAGAGGCAAGAGACCAGGGCCAAGGCCCGCCGGTACTTCTTCATCTTCTCCTCCTTCTTCCCCCGGCCAGAAGGCGGCACATCCTCCCTGCAGCCGCCACTGCCGAGGCCAAGATGGAGGAGCCGGAGCGCGAGGATGGGAGCGCG